GATTTTGCATGCATTTTGGTTTTCACCTGTGAACTGAATACTGTAGGACAGTAAGTTTATGGCCTAGTATCCATGGGACAACCAGCCAGCCAGTTAAAGATGAACTTTGACTGGCCAAGAACTAAAATGCCTGGGGGCAGCTGTGTAGCTCAGGTAACTCATTAGAAACTGATACTGAAAAATGACTGAGAACTAAACTCCAAGAGGTCACAAAAAGATTAAAAGCAAAGCAAGGTCTTTTTCCACCACAACCCAGGTCATTACAGAGTATGATCATAGCCTTCCATAGCATTGTCTAGCAGAACTAGCACCAATCTCCCCTCAGTACATCTAGAGTAATGTAGGTTTCTAAGGAACGAGCTGCATCTATACAAGTATCTAATGTTTTAGAATATTAGCCTTGTCTGCCTGAATGCTATCATGCCTCGTGGAGTTCTACTGGGTAAATAATGCACAGTGCCAAAGACATTTCTTCCCTTCTCCCCTCACTGCTGCTCTCTTTTCTTCAGCAAAAAAGAATTCACTTCCTAGATGTATTTCATCTTCCAAATGGAAGGAAGCGGAGCTGGTCTGGAGGGTCCCATACCTTTCCACACCATGGGATCACAGGTCTCTTTCTTCAGGAATGGTCAAAATACTTCCAACTCCCTGCCACTTGCCTGTCTGCATCATTTAACTTCCCAAAAGCAGCACAGGGAGGCACGCTGCAGGCTCTGGAGTACTAGGCAGACAGACTTTGAAAATGAGCAGTCAGAAAACGGAGCGTTTCACTCAAGCCAGTAACAAGACAAGTTCTGGCTGCCTGATCAAACCTCTGGCATAGCTGGCGAGACCTCCATCCTAATTTTGTGGTTTCACATGAAAACATAGCATGGGTGAGTTGATAAGAACAAATTTAACAGGGAGTTTAGGGAAGGAAGCTGTCAAAAAAAGACTTGACATCCACAAATTCCTGAACCCGTAATGGGATATCTACATGACTAAAACATGGAGAATTCTGCTCAGGCCAGCACTGAGCACTAAGCACTCATTGAAGACCTATGTTAGTGTACCTTGAACAGTGCAGATAGATTGATGGTACTTGAAAAAAACCTAGGTTTGTAAAGCCAGAGAAGTGCAGACTCTCATTGTTTAGGCAGGCAGGTACGAATGGGCATTCTTAATGCTTCCCTTCTGCTATGTTTGATGTCTTGCAATTTGATGTCCTGCACAAGTGCTGACACCATGTACAGCTTTTCTTGACAGCCAAATAAAATATAACCAGTTCCCCACCCTGAAAAAGAAAACCCACAGGGAACTTAAGTGTGATAATAAAAGTGAGTAGCAGCAAACACTGTCTGAACTGTCAGGTTATAAACAATGCTCATGAAACCTTCATGGCCAGGATCAATAAAAGGAAAGGCCATCGCTCTTGAGAGCCACGAGCCATTAGAAAAATAAAAAGCTTTCTGTCTCAGAGCACTTACGTCTAGATTTCATGTGCCACTGCTTCTTCCGTGGCCTTATAGACTAAACAAGCAAGTTCAGTTCTACTTCCAGTGCTGCAACAGTGAAACCAAGCCACAGATTGCCTGGTAAGGCATTCCATGACCTTGAAACATATCCTGTAGAGCCACGTGACTACTTCACATAAATGTCCATCATCAAAATTTAGGGCTTAAGTTGACCCATCACAACAGTCAATTTCCTAATGCACAAACATGACTTTTCCATTTGAAAGGATTTCTGTTTCCAAACTTTTATGCAAATTAGATAACTGAGTTATCATCTCTGATCTTTATGGAAAAAGCTTTGTTTTTCCATAGTAGTAGAACACTCAACTCCAGTTTCATTGCTGCAAGCCATTTCTAAAAAAGTAAAAATGATCTCTCAGCACAGTCATTCTCCTGGTAACCAAGTCCCAGGAGATTTTGCCATTCTCCTGTTTTGTTCTTACTTGGTTGAAAATTACCATCACTAGTGAGTGCTCCCATATTTTTCACGTTAACTATTCTTCTTCTCACCAGTACAATCTTTGTAAAATTATTTTTGTTGGAAAAAAAGGATATTTCATTGAAAATTTTTGGCAGGTGACTAAACTGCCACAATGTTTTTGTACTTAGGTAAATTAACCCATTTGTGCCTAGGAAAAATGATTTTTCAAGGTGAGATTAATGTAAGTTCCCAAATATTGTGGAGATGCCTTTCGTTCAAGACATTGGGATACTGGATCTTTAATAGGGTTCTATGCATATGTCAGCTGGCGGAGATCACATGCTGATAGGGTCTAGCTTGTATAAATACTGAATTGTGGAAAGTGAAAGCCAGCTTAATGCCTCTGAGCACAACTTTTTGAATAGCCCCTAATCATCTAAGAAACAACACTTAAAAAAAAAATTACTTTTCAGACTTTGTCATTTGTTTTTCCCATATAACTCTAGTGAGGCTGCATGGGTAACCAATGTGAACTAATAGCTCACATCAAAAAGCAACTGTCATACTGAAGAGGAGATTCTATGGATTGTATGCATTTAGAGCAAAAGCATCATCTGTGAAAGTTCTCACTTGCTAACAAAGTTGTCTGACCTATTTGTGCTTAATAGTATTTCATATCACTTTATGCTGTTTTTCTTCTTTTCAAAATGGATCTTAACTCATCTACATCTATTATCTATGCAGGCATATTTCAGTCTGTGCAACACTCCATTACTGCTTACTTTGCTGTTCATTATCCACATAAATTGATTATCTATTGTTTTGGAACCAAGAGACAAGCCAATCCTCAGAAAGATAAAAGAAACAATAGATAGAGCAAGAAAGCAATAAATAATGATGATACTTCCACTAGAATTATGTGGACAAAGAATAATGTATACCACAATAAATAAAGCTTTAGCAGTCTGAAAATACTTTAAGCAAAACTAACAATTACTTCAATCAGTAAACAATAAATAAGCTGTCCTGGATGCTGTAAATACCTTTTTTTTTTTTTTTTTTTTTTTAATTTTGTGGCCACTAGAGTTGCTGGCAGTGCAATTTAGAGGTCAGCAAGTACAAAACCACAACAATTACTTACATGAAATATCCCTGCCAACACTTGATCAAAACTACTGTTTTAAGTGACTCAAATGTGTGATATGTATTAGGATAATCTGGTTTTGTCAGTCACAGATTTGGGAACCCTTCCTCTGTGTGGAAGGAGAGGTGATGGTTTGTAGTTTTAAATGTCAGGCCATACAGGCAGCCACTGGACCACTTTCCAGGTCCAATATTCAGGAAAATTAACTCCAAATGTGCAACAAGCCAAAGCACAATAAGAAACATTTTCTCTCAATGTAAAAACACAAGGATCCAAGAGAAAAGGAGACAGAAGTTCTAAAATAAATTATCAGAAACAACTTTCCTTAACTTTCAAATAGAAAATAATCCAGAACAGTGTAAATATTTTTTTAAAAGATAACATACTTATAGTCATAACATCACTAGCATTCATTAGAATGGAGCAAAAAGAAGCTGGAGTGGGCCACAGGATGAGAATTCAACTACATGCATCAAGATAGCGCCCCATCGTCCCTCAACAACTTTGGAAGACCATTTTCTTCTGGCTTCTGATATAAAGCCCATTTCAGTACATTTAGGACTAGGCTCCTGGTCTCTCTTTAATTTTGGCTGAAAATCTTGCCTAAGCACACTAGAGGCACACATGCACATCATACAAGGTGGCAGAAATTATTCCATGCATCTCCCTACCTCCCTTGCATGTATTGAAACTGCTGGACCACACCCTTTGAAAAAAATCTCAAAGATTTTTCTTTGAGAAAACCTGGAACATCTGAAAATCTGAAGAGCTTTAATTTAAACTCTTTCCCAGGAACTATATTAAGTCATACATTTCCAGGGAATATATGTCTACCCAGTGTCCTCACAGAAGCTAACAAATACGTTTCAATTTTGTAAGCATCTGTCTACTTTGTGTACTTATTTTGTACATTACCTGGAACACCCGCTTAAAGACAAACCTGAGAGTTACAAAGCCATATGGGAAATTCAGCCACACATTTTGCTTTAGAGTACCCTGCTTTGTCTTGGAAACCTCAGCTAAAGATCTTTTTCCCTTGTTAGGCTGTTCCTGATACTGCTTAGCTCAAGTGTACATCCATGTATGAGATCTTCTGGTACATTCTCAGAAATTTTACTTCCACATTACAACCTGCTTTCTGTACCAGTCTTTGCCTAGCCTATACAAAAATTATATTCTCCACAACACAGTAAAAATAGCAGTTACTTTGCTTTATATAATCATGGAGCTTTAAATATTAGTGCAACTATTATAGAAAATCAGGTTATCTGACTTGAGAACAAGTTACCTTGGAAGCAACATTAACCAGGAAAAATTAATAGACCTGTTACGTGAAGAGATTCTGCTTTCTCAATGGCAAGACTTCTATCACATCTCTGTGAGAAAGTCTGCCCTCTCCAAGTTCTACTGACCTCCTTTCCTGCACTCAGGCTACACCTTTCTTATTCTGTCAGATGCAGAGGCCACTTTCAAACTCACAGGTGCCAGACCATTAACACAAATTGTCAGCCTGCAGTGATTATTCACAAAGTGCCTGACAGGTTCCTCCCATGTACTCATAACACTTGTTATGATAGTCGTTTCTAGAATAGTTGTTCATAAATTAACCAAACAAAACTGTGTGTTGTCCACATGGGAATAAGCAAAAGAAACATCACTGTTGGATTTATTTTTTAACAGAAGCTTGAATGGATATGGGATTACACCTGTACTGAATAGGCTAAATTCCACACAGATACACTCAACATATCAACCATACTGATTTCTGTAAGAATCCATGCTGATTTCTACAAGAATCAGAGCAGAGGCTTTCAATCTCATATCTGTGCCATGAACACTTCAAATAAATCTAACAGGCAGAGATAAAACACTTGTATTCCTTAGTCACAAGTTTCATAGGATGCCCTTAGGAATGCAAAGACTTTAACTTATATCAACGTACTTCTGAAGAGTGAGGCTCAAGTTGTGGCTTGCTGACTTGATCTTGTTCTGGGCCTCTAAGTGGGTCATGCTGTCAGCGTTGACTCCCTCAATGGCTATGACAAGGTCCCCTTGGTTCATCTGTGACTGTGCTGCCTTGCTGCCAGGAGTGATCTGTGTGAGAAAAGCAAAAAACAAGAGAGTCATATCCGGATAAATCATTCTGTACACAAAGCACTTACAGAGAACTCACCCAGAACTATAACGAGGAATAGATACAGCAATAAGTACAGTAATAGATACAACACTAGCTGTGTCTATTATTGTATAGGTGGAACAACAAAATTTATGGAAATTAAACAAACTCAGAGTTAGCTCGCATTTCTGCAAAGGTCCAGGACACAACACCTACTTGTCATTACTTCTGTTTTGAGAGGTTAAACCCAATGTAGTGGTTCCCTTACCACATATTATCTCCTCCTCAAGGGGATAATTATCACTATTTATATTACAGTAGTATATAGAGACATTACTCGGAAGCAGAAAACTAATGAACCACTATCTACTGCATGATTTTATTGTATTTTTCCTCCTAAAAGCCTTTTTTCCCAAATTAATTCATTATATTGAGCAGACAGAAAATGAATGTGTGTGAGAGGCCTTGGACATGCTTTGCTTCTTTTATAGTGAGCTTTATAGGAAATCATTCTGCTTAACCTTCCCCACATACAACTATAGCTCCATTATCAAGACAGATTAGTACATACCCGAGGTGACCTCATCAACCTGTGGCACATGACACTCCAAAGACAGACCAGCACTTCTAGAAATAAGAAGCCACAGTGCTTCAACTACAAACCCAACTACTGAGAAAACAGTTCAGAAATTCTGGTCATTCACTATGGCATTGCATTTTGTTGGCTCCAGATGCCTCATGAATGGCATCTTCTCTGAATGGACGGTATCCTGATCTCAGTTTTACACAGCCCTCTCAGCTTGCATCTGGATGACATTGATACAGTACAGCTACTTATGAAACTTGACTCCATTAGGGAACTCCAACTAAAACAGAAGAGCCTTCACATACCATCAGCCAGACAAATTTTAGTGGGCACACCAGAGTTGTGCTCTGCTTTCAGCACTCAGTACTTAAATGGTACGGACATAAGCTACAGGCCTTTGCTCTTATTTTTAGGTACTCCCTTACATTCCTCACTTCTAAGAAAACCCAAGGATAATCTGAAATACAACAAAGGCTGCAGCTAAAAACTCTTCCTTCAGCACAGTGAACATAAAAGAAAGATGTGTCTGATTATGAGCCATATTCCCTGTCCTGGTTTCAGCTGGGTTAGAGTTAATTGTCTTCCTAGTAGCTGGCACAGTGCTATGTTTTGGGTTCAGTATGTGAAGAATGTTGATAACAACTGAAAACATCAGTGTGTTGCTAAGTAGCGTTTATACTAAGTCAAGGATTTTTCAGCTTCTCATGCCCAGCCAGGGAGAAAGCTGGAGGGGCACAAGAAGTTGGGAGGGGACACAGCTGGGACAGCTGACCCAAACTGGCCAAAGGGATATTCCATACCATGGGATGTCATGCCCAGTATATAAACTGGGGGGAGTGGGGGTGGGGCGATTGCCGCTTGGGGACTAACTGGGCGTTTATCGGCGGGTGGTGAGCAATTGCACTGTGCGTCATTTGTATATTCCAATCCTTTTATTATTACTGTTGTCATTTTATTAGTGTTATCATTATCATTATTAGTTTCTTCTTTTCTGTTCTATGAAACTGTTCTTATCTCAACCCACTTTTTTTTACTTTTTACTTCTTTTCCCGATTTTCTCCCCCATCCCACTGGGTGGGAGGGGAGTGAGTGAGCAGCTGCGTGGTCCTTGGTTCCTGGCTGGGGTTAAACCACGACATTTCCCCTGTGAATTCAGTCAGGCTGAAACCGTGAAGTTAAATTCCCAAGGAAACCAAAACCCAACATAAATCCAAACACTTTTCCTCATCAAGTGTGAAGTTAAATTCCTTAACCTGTCTTCCCTAATACGACCTCAAAACACTTAAAAATGTGTACATAATCAAAACAAAAAAGTCCTTCCAAAACAATTCCCTAGACTGCTTGTTGTGCTCCTCCACTTACAAAGACAAAGAAGAAAAAAGGAAAAATAACCCTTTCTTAACACCCCGTTAAAGGTGCTCAGTGTTGAGGCTGGCAGTCTAATTGACAGTGTAGTCTGACAATGGGAGTTGTCAATTTACTAGAACACAGGCTCTAGTATCAGGGTGCTAGAATACAGCACCCTGAATACTCAGACACTCTACTTAAAAAATAGAGATTACTTTGGAATTAGGCACTGTAAATAACATCCCAGAACTGAACGGACTGGAAGAGACAGCTTTCTATACCTTTTCACTAGAGATAAAAGCAGTAAGAGTTATATGTTTTCTGAGTGAAGGACAGCCACAGATAAAATGTTCTCATGCAAAGTAAAGTTGACTGATAATAGCAGTGCCATTCCCTGATGTAGCATTCTGGTGTTAAGGCATTGAGGGGTGGGGAAACACTTTGTGGTAGTTTCAGTGATGGAGTTTTATTCTGCAGTCTAATGCACCCTCATAGAAAGAGATTAGTAGAAAGGGATTCATATTACAAGCATAGCTTTCCTAACCTATTATGCAAACATTAGCTTCCATGCATTTCATTGACTTGCATTGTGCAAAGTACACAAAAAACAGAAGCCTATAAAGAATATGGATTATTTGCATACCCACATGTACTTGTATAGTTACTAAATGACCCTTCCCAGCTCAACCCCCCCAGTATGTCAAGAAACAGAATCTGCAATAAAGTAAGAGGTCAGGAAAAGGCAAAATGTGAACAAAAGCCAAAATCAGATAAATTAGTAAGACTTGAATTTGTCAAGTAGGACACTTCAGTCTTTCTCAATTTATCCTTTTTGTCTATTAACATAAACTGTTTGCCAGTCAGGTAGACACTAAGGCTTGAACTTTCTTGATAAAGATTTTTTAATAAATAACCTTCACATATCACTTTTCTAAGACACCACTTTTTACCTCCTCATGAAACATGCAAGTTCTTGCCACAAAACATTAACTGTGTGATGCCGATACTTGAGTCTCCAGACAGCTGGTTCCAAATGCCGGGAAATCCCCCATTTGCTCATCAGGAACAATGACTAGTTTTTGAACATCAACCCAGCTACTGAAAGTCGAAAGTCTGTCCTAATTCAGGAATTCCTACTTAACACATACATCCCTCCTTCCACCACCCAGTGATGCTTCAAACAAAATAAACCCAGAGAAGCAGAGCTTTCACAGAAAGCATAAAGAAGACTGGATCTGGGACTAGTTTAAGATAGCTGTAACATACTGATTTCCCTCTAAGTTTCTCTGATTTCTGCTTTTTGCAGTCCCAAATTTAAATGTTATACCTTAAAATAAAGATAAAGCAGGTAACTACAACTGTCCTAGAATTAAGAGTCAAATTTAGAGGGAGGGGATGGTTGTAACTAGTGACCTGATTTCACTTACTCTAGTGGGATACTTTCTGCCTAACACTTTTAGAGAACACTACCTAAATGAAAAATATATTCATCAGAAGAATCTATCAAACAAAAGGTCCTGAGTAACTTTGAATTTGTGATTTATATGAATTTCTAACTATGGCTATTGCAGTGCCCTTTCTGAGGCAAAGAGCTACAGGAGAACCACACTGTGAAAATTAAGGAAACAGTCTCAATCACGGCTTACCAGCCAGTGTTACTTTATTTGAAAAGGAAATGAAAGGGATTTGTACTCATCTCTTCAGCTAAGTATAATGGTAGCAAATGTAGGGCTGGATTCCTTCATACAGCTCTACCTTTCCAATTCCTATTTCAGGACCCAGCACTCCATGGATGTCACTTTACCTCTAAAATTCAGCTTACCCTAGCTTCATAGACAGTAAAACTCACAAGTATAGAAGATGGATCTAGTTTATTGTATCTGTAATTCAGAACTATAATAAGTATCAGGAAAGAATTACTTCTTCCCCCAGTCTTCCCACTGGCTAAGAGCATGCTATGTAGATTATTTGGTTCTGTAGAGCTTTATATAGAAGGCATTATTAAAATCTGGATGTATAATCTGTACAAAATATTCAAATCAAAGTACCTATTATACCTATTTTAGTTAGAAGCTAACAGGCTTCTCTGTGAGACTTTAAACTGGACCACAGCGTGCATTTACAGCAGACATTAAGAACAGTCAGTAATTGTTGGGGACAAAATACCAATGTACAGATGGAGATACAGGGCAGCCAGATCTGAAGTGTCAAGGCACATTCAAGACTATCTTGTTCCCATTTTTAAAGATCCAGCAGAAAGGAATGGAATGCAAAGTGTTTATCTGTTCATATTTTCCTTTGAAAATTCATCTCTGATCTACTAAAAATTTACTAAATATAATAACAAACAGAGAAGATCTCACTGTGTCTTTGTGAAATCTTTATGGACTGTTTTCTATTTAAAAAGGTTTTTAAAAAATATTTTTTTAAATGAAGGGTGAATGTTAATTAACCCTTGGAATTAGTCTGCAAGTCCAGATCTGTCTACACAGTACGTTCTAGTTTGCTCTCGTCTCAGCCTCTCTTGTATTAACAGAAGTAACAAAAGTAGACAAATATAGTACTGTCTAGGCCAAATATGCATTTTTCAATTTGACTACCAATTTTTTTTCTCAAAACATCTCTGGGAAAGATCTAGACAGAACTATTCCAGAAAACCTTTGTAACAGTCTTAACTCACTTGCTCCGGATTACAATATAACTTTCAGATGCTAGGTGTTGCAAATGCCTTTATTTAAAGCTACAGTGAGATGTTCACCACAGATTCAAGGTATAGCTATTTCTGTCAATTGATTTACAAAATCCAATCCAGGGTTCCACTGACAGATCTCGCCCAAGCACAGACTTCATCCTGAAAAGCCAAGCATCTTTCAGCTTTCTCAGAAAAGCAGAGGAACACTTGCTGCTTCAGCAATGTGAATTTTCAGCCCACAAATTTCCTACAAGGCAGACATCTGACTTCCAACATCCCCAGCTTAAAGCAAGTGGGCAGGCTGGAAGTATCACATGTTGCTTTCAATGTACTACAGAGAATTCTTACTACGC